GTATTTGTGTGACCTTGGGAAACAGCTCAGCCCCTCTAAAACTTGATGCCCTTATCTGCACAACAAGGCAAATAACAGTTCTTATTTTTTGGTGTTGTTAAAGTTAACAGTAATAATTCATATAAAGCATGTAGCCTATTGTCTGACTCAAAGGAAGTGTCCGTACATTTTAAATGTAGAGTGTTCTATAGTTTCAAAAACCCTTATGCAGCATTTCAAAGACTTACCATTTTACTTTTCTCAAAGCTATGCATAATGTTCTGTATTCTAGTCAAAGAAGGAAAGCATGTCCTTAGGCTTAGTTTAAAATGTCCACTGGATTATATTCATTCATTTTTGTTACTCACTCTGGGAATCTGAGGTCAGTGAACTTATTATGGTAATAGATGTTTGAGACTTATTACTTACTAAGTATATGGTCTTAGAATTGAATTATACAATGTTTCATATGATACTAATTTTATTTATATGAAAACCTCTGATAATAAAAATAATGAAATCTGCTAGTATATCTTGATAAGAAATGAAGTGTTCTTTTCCAATGATTATCTCTATTGTTCACAAATTTACCAGGAAGCTTGACTGTGTATTCTTAACTCAGGAGTTTTTAGTTAACGATATTGCCCAAACCAGACCAAAGAAAACACCTACGCTTGTCTCAGGCTCCCATTTTAGGGCATCTGTGGACAGCAGCTATAAACTACAATGGTGTCACACTTTGGCCAGACCTTGAGATCTGGTGATTGGCTAGTAGGACCTGGTCTAAAAGGCAGAAAACCCAGAGAGGCCAGCATCATGAGTCTGCCTTATCCCCACAGCGTGGGTGTTATTGACCCCAGCCTTCTGATTCTGGGATGGGGTACTCCCGTCCTGCTAGCACTCTGTAAAGGCCTGACTGATCACTGATTGCGTGTGGCACGATCAGATACATGTTTTGAGAAATGCTCTCTGTCTGCAGTCAGAAGAATGAATTGTATAGGAGTATTAATAATGCATCAGAACACTTAGGTGGTCATTATTCTCAGGCATGAGATGATGGCAGAATGAACTGGATGGTCATGGATATGGAAATGGGTACAGATCAATGTAGAACATGCAGCCTACAGGGCTCAGTGATGGAGTTGGTAGGTGTAGCAGGTAGAGGAGAATGTTAAAAATGACTTAAAGGGCAGACCGTACTTATCCATTGTGGACTGTTTACACAATATGGTTCTATAATTGATTCTTTAGCCTTTCCTACAAATGCTGTCAAACATTGGTTGCCTATAGAATACTGGGTAATTCTGTGTGTGTGTGTGTGTGTGTGTGTGTGTGTGTGTATGTGAGATCTCATCTCCACTGACACTGGACCTCAGTCTCATCCACCTCTCAGTTCAGATGTATCCTATATACTAAAAAGTGAGCAGCTGAATTAACTGTCACAAATCTCACAATTTCATTCTCAGCATATTTGCCCTATACTCATCTTACTCTAAGCCCTTCTCTCAGTAGCTGTCTATTATTTCTTTACGCAGTTCCAGATGTCATGGTTATCTAGCTTCTCAGCATAGGTTGTTAGGGGTTGAGTTGCTAGAGTCAAGTAGACAAAGAAGTAACATTTGAGAGATTGTCACTGAGGGAGAATCAAGTAGAATTCAAAAAGTAGATGCAGAAATTGATAAAGTATAGCCACTGAATGATGTTAAGGCTAAGAGCTGGGTAATTATCTGATATCTCATCAGTCCCGGAGGTATTACTGATATAGTCTTTGATGTCTATAATGCACAGTTTGAGTCCTCACAAATGAATCAATTACATTCATTATAGGCTGTGAGAGAAGACAGGTATGTGTGTAGTGCTTGCTAAAAAGATTTCCTTCAAAAATGGTTAAGATTCTTAAAGTTTGTACTTAAGGGATGAGATTTAGTTATAACAAAAATTAACTTCTTAAAATACCTCATTTCCCAGTATGTCAGATAAATGAGATATTATGCACGTAATCCTAGCATAAAAGAAATTCTCTGTTCCCCAATTATGTAAGAAAACGGAAGTATTGATTTGAGTACTTTCTATTTCATTGTTGAAAAGCAGGTCAAGTAGATAGCATTTCAGGGGTCTTAAAATTTCTTTTAAGAGCTTCTGCAATACATTATTTGCACATAAGATTTTTTTTTTTTGGTGAGGATTAAATGATTGCTTAGCAGAATGCCTAGCACATAATAATGTATTGTCATTATTATTAATGTGATTTTATCCATTTTTCTTCTCTTAAATTTTCCATGTACTATTTGGTTTTCACTATGTATCTTTCCTTTCTTAATTTTAATTAATTTGCACTTTGGTGTGTCAAGTATCAAATGGCATTAAATCAAATGCTTTCTATAAGTATTCTTAGAGTTACCATAGATGGTCATATAGAATAACAGGGAGCACATACTGGCAGCTCTATTTTTTTTGTGTGTGTAGCCATAGTACTACATGATACTAGAAGACTCTTTGCCCCAAATCTGGAAATAAAGGAAATGCACCTGCTTACATCAAGGTAAACTGTGCACAGCTTACTTTAAAAAGGAAACTGGGTCATAGAAGTCACTTCATTAAAAATATTAGCTCACTTACATGAAAAAAAGCTTTATCCTAAAGGATGTTTTGATCAAGATCTAATTGGTCAAACAGAAAATGTGTCAGGTATATGAGACAGACAAGATTTAATACAAGGAGTTGGTTCCAAAGGTATTGGAAGGGCTGGCGGGACAAAAGGGAGAAGGGGGTGGGTGCTGGCAGATACACAAGGGGCACTGGCAGGGAGCTGCTTGCTTCCCTGGGCTGGAGCCTCAGAGCCAAGATCCTGCTCGCTGGCTTCACGCTGGAGCCATCACGAGATGCTGCCCCATCCCGCCTGAAGTATGCCAAGATCCCACCACCGAAGAGGCTGCAGACATGGAAGAATTGCTCTGCGGCCTGAGGCTGCAGCTGTTTTGCTCCTCGGCTGACCTAGCACAGTCCCCAGGGCCTCTGCACTTGTAGCTAGAAACTGGGCATGTCCTTCCTTCCTGCTCCTGCCCTCTGAGCAGTGCCTCCTATTGGTGAAACTGAATAGGAAGCCAAAAAGCAAGCAAGCTGGAAATGCAGTTTGTAGGCTACTGAGCTCAGCTCACAGAGCAGACTGCGGAAGCATGGTTGTGGGGCTGTGATTAGATGACTTTAACCAGCTTATTCAGCATCCATGCACATTCTTCTCCCTTCCATTCACCTTCTGCCACCAAGAATAATAACTGCATGTTTCTACTAACATGATCCTACTAAGCTGTATACAAATGAAGATGAAGATGTTCTTAGCCTCTGTCGCCATATTCATATCTGGGTGGTATGAACCACCCCCTGGTTTTAGACACAACCCACCTGAATATCCTGCAATTTAAAACTAAGCTATAAATGAATACCCACTAACTGCTTTAATATCAATCAACAGGGAAAAGGAGGAAACAAAATTATTATTATATATGAATCTTTATGTAATAGACAGGAAATAAAACATGAATAACATTTGCAGTTCTTAGTTTAAGGCCATAGTTGATATGCATAATGTCTTCCCCTTGTCCTCAGCTGGTAGCTCATCTGTTTGGGATTTTCGACCTAGTAAGACAACTCAAACTTTCATTACTAAAGGGTTTATATCCTTAGTGGCCCTGGCTTGGGTTGCTGTAGACTTTTAATACTTACATGATCAGACCTGGTCAGATAAAGAGATGCCCTTGAGAATGTTCTGGGTGTTGGTGTGCAGCAAAAAGCTAATTTCTCCTTCCACACGGTAACTTTTTTCTTTGCCTGTTGATACAGTTGTGAAGGATATCCTGGCAATAGGCTCCATATTTTATAAGATCCCAGATGATGGTGCTGCCAGGCCATTGTGAGAAGATTCTAGAAATGAGCAATTTTTCTCCCTGGAGAGAGGGAGGCTTGGGAAAAGGCTCCTGGTATTGGAGTCCCACCACCCCTAACATGAGGATGAATGAGGTTCAAGCTACCTTCAGAATATTAACAAGACCAAATCTGGTATCCAGAAGGCTGAAAGTCAGGCCTCGTGGAGACCAGCCACTAGGGGCTTCCTTGATGTCCCTGACTTTGCTAGAGTCTTTTGTTTCAAAACTCAGTCCTTCTCCAAATCTCCTATCTCTGAGCTATTCTTTAATATCATACCTTCAGCAAGTCTATTCCTATTTCGAGAATTTAGGTATCTCTTTTTCCTGCATCTTTAAATTTTCACTCTATATTGGATATTTTCACTATGTGACATTTCATTAATTAATTCATTCAAATAATATGTATTGTTTTCTACAAAGTGTTTCAGGCATGGTGCTGAGCTCTAGAAATAAACAAGTGAGGCAGAGTCAATAGGTTCCCTGGGGATCCTAAGGCCCATTGGGAGCTTCTAGATTCAAATCCTGACTTCAATACTTGCCTGCTTTGTGACCTTGACAAGCTACCTAATCTGTGCCTAATTTACCCCATCTGTAAAATGGTGATAACAATATTGCCTCTATTATAGCAGTGCTGTGAGGAAAGGGATAAAAAGGATTCATGCATAGTGCCTATATGCATAGAACAGTGCCTGACACATCCTGAATATTATATAATGCCTTAATAAATAAGGTCATTTTACTTCTAGAGCACAGCTATTAAAGCTATCATTTTAGAAAGCAATAAAAATGATAAAGGCACTTATTGAATTCATTTTGAATCTGGAACTCAAATGACAGCAATCGATGTGATGCAATAGAGAGATTTCCATGCAGGGGCCCCTGGTTCTATTTATATCTTCGACTAATTACCTTAACAGTCTGATATTCAAAGGTGTACGCCTGTTCTATTCTTTGGAAAGAGACAAGGTTTAGACTAGGAGAAATATCAGATACTGTGATTCAGGGAAATTAGAAATCACATCGAGGAGTGTTTGCTTTCTTGAGGCATTCTTTGCTATTGTCTACTAATCATATTAAAAGCCGATTATTATCTTCCAGGTGTTATCACAAGTTATGGACTCTATCTAGATGGTATATTAATCCACAATTCCTCAGAGCTCAGCTGCCATGCTTCTGGACTTGCACCTTGGAGCCTACATTCCTTCAGAGTCCAAGCATGCACGGCCAAAGGTTGTGCTCTGGGCCCGCTGGTGAGTGTGTGAATTTACATCCTGGGACTGCTTTAAATGTGCAATGACAATGACTGTCAAGGAAGAAGTAACCAGTGGTGACTCACTATCTGCACAGCGAGGCTTTTGAGCAGGATGGGAGGTTTTCTTTGTATAAGATATCATTTAAGAGTTAGTAAGATTTTATATTCAACATATATTTCAAGACTGTACATAGGTCTAGTGGACGATGGAATCTACATTTTACTGAAATTTCTAAAGGCAAGTTGGCCAGTTTCGCAGTTATACATAAAATTTTGTCCAATTTAGTGACATGTCTAAAGTGGATATTTTTCTTCCTAACGATGGGCCCCACAACTAAGAAATTTATGATTAAAAAGTGAAAATAACTTAAAGTCCATAACTACCACAATAGGACCATGCTGCTCCCCACCCAACTAGGTTAATCAATTAAAGGGTTGAGCTTGCCTCCTTTTTTAAAATAAAATACTTTTATTTCATTAGTGTGATGTAGCTTCATAAGAACAGTATTTAATACTTCATTTAATGTCAGCTTTTTAAAATTGCATTAATGTCAGCTTTCCACATTCCACAGAAATCTATATCTGAAATGAAATCTGTATCTCTATTTCAATAGCAGTTAAAAGGTGGACAAAACTTTTTTATTTCAATATAATTTTTAAAACAATTAGTAGTATGTATAATTCTCATAGGTTAGCAGAACATTCTTCAGTTTCTAAACATCACGTTTTATATTTGTGCCTTTTTTCTTGATTAATAATTAGATTTGCTTCTATTAAGGGAAATAACCATTAGTTTTTAGAATATATTGGCCAATGTTTGCTAATGCCCTATCATTTTAATGCACTCTGTCTTGATTGAAGACTGTATTATAAATATTACCTTGAAAAACAGTTCTACTGTTTTATTTTTGCTTCCTTATTTTTCATTACACCTCCCATTTCATTTCAGAGATTGGTTGCTTTCCAAGCTGCTAACATCATCTGTTGGGGAAGCTGAGCTGTAGTCTTTATTGCCATTAAGTATTTTATAGCTTAGACCCCTCTGATGGTTACTTACTTTTAAAAGCAGGAATGGCAATAGGCCAGCCTTTCTTCTCCATTCAAAAAAAGAAGAAATGGAAACAAAAGATCATTTCATATGTGCTTGAAACTTAGACTTTTTCAGAAATAGAAACAGCAAATTGTTGTTCCGGCCTCTCGTTGGCTCCCACACTGTCTCCTGAGGTTCTGACAACTTTAAACAAGGGGGACGCGATTACTGATCTGTGTCCTGTGCAGAAAAGATAGTAGGCAATGTTACCTTAAGAAATCAAGTGCTGCAATGCCCTAATGAGAGGGGGTAAGAACGAAACTGGACTGTAAAACCTGTGCCGCCATGGCCTCATTCATTCTAGACTCAGTCCTGACATAAAGCAGAATTATTTTCTCCCCTTGCTACTTTCCTTTATCCTGTGCTCAGTATGCAAACGCTTTTCCTAAGTCAATGATCCATCTCTAATCACTGGGATTGAACAACAATGTCTTTATTTAGAACAAGTCAACTATATGCTGTCAAGAAGTTAAAACCCATGGTCTCCAATTGATTTCTAAAGTATTTTTGTACCAATTACTGTATATGTCATGCACTGAAGAAATGACATATCTGAGTAATGCCAAGTCGCCTTGACTAGCTATCATAATCATGAAGGATATATTATGGATTCTGATATATGTACATATATCTATACACTTAAAGCTATTCTCTATATAAATCCCAATGCTGTAACAAACATTTCATTGAAACGAAAGATTTATAATTTGAACTTTTAAGCCTTTTGCCGGTAGAAACAAATAATACACTTTTGAGACCCAATTGTTTTGTTCACCTAGCAACATTGCTTACTGATAACTTTTGGTTTCAGAAGGAGAGGCCTGTTTATTTTGCATCTCTTACATACTTAATGTCATTGTTTCTCAAGCACGCAATGAAATACGATGCAGTGTTTTCTGGAACAGATACGCTCTACAGTCTACAAAGTGGTACGATTTGCCCTCAAAATTGGCAAGTTGCTCATATAATAAAAGAAAAAGTAGTGAAAAAGGACAAATTTGATAGAATGGAATATTTTAGAAATGAAAACTCATATATAAATTCTTTATGCTTACTATTTTAATGTAGTATTAGCTCAGTATGTTTTGTTGCCTTGTCCTGACCAAGTTTATTTGCTGTTATTTATTTGAGGTTCAGAAGGAATTGCTCTGTATCCATCTGAGAAAAGATATCCTTGTGGTTTGTTCAGGTTGTCCATTTACACTATGTATTTGGCTTTTAAAGAAATCCTAATGTAAAAAGCAATTTATAATGCCTTTGTTTCTAATTTTAAGATGCTAATATGCATTGCCAAATTTAATCCAGTGACTGAGATGTTATAAAAGTTTGAAATAATGAAAAAATTAACAGAAAAATGCAGCAGGGAACTTTATTAACACTTTCCTTGCTTTTCATTATGTTTTTGAATAGTAGTAGGGAGAAATCTTTTGCATTTTGTGTTTCTATAATAAAATTCCATGAATTTGTCCAGAGGAAAATCACTTTGCTTTTGTTTTCTTCCCCTTAGCCAAGGTTAGGGAACACCGGTGGGTTCTAAGACGGGGAATTTTATGACTGTGTCCGGCCTTGAACATTCACTGGGTTCAGTTCTCTAAGGATCCTCTTAAGGGTGGAATGGGAAACTCTAGGCCACTGCTGCGTGATATGCTTAAAAAGCTCCCTTGGTCTCTTGATGACATACTTACACAGACAAATGCACCCAGACACACATGTACATACACTCACCTTTTCACTTCATTTTTTACAAAGAAACAAATAAATGTTTTTTAAGGCATCTCCATTTTAATGGCAGTATTTGTTATGGTTAAGGTAATCCTGTATGGGGACCCTACACTCAACCCATTCCCATGCCTCCTTTGGAAACGTGATGATTTTACTAAGCCTCAGATGTCTCACCTATTGAAAAGGGAAATGATGCCTACTTTAAACAGGGTTTCTATGAAAATTTAAGTGAAATATTTATACAAGGGTTTCTGATACATAGTAAGAGTTTATTAAGGAGGACATTTTTTTAAATGTTTATATTTTTCTCATTGCACGTTTGTTCTCAAATTTTTTTTTCTTTTTTCTGTGTCAAGGAAGGTTTTCAGCTGAAAACCACGCCAGTCTTCCAGAGTGGCTTTTTCTTAATACTCTTTTTAAGGCAAGGCAGGAAAAAAAAAAGGTAATTAAAAAAAAAAAAAGACCGAGTCAAAGCAAAATAGCACCATTGCCAAATTTAGTGTAGATTAAAAGCTAGAGAATTTATCCAGATACTTAAGGAAATCTAAAAATATATTTATTTTGAACTGGGCAGATATTTAATGATCATAACATAATTATCTGGAACTGCCCTTAATTCTTCAACTTTTTGAGTCTTGTTCTATTTGGAACATTTGAAAATCATTTCCTATGCAATAATTTGAACTATATACATAGATTTAATGAAAGCAATTGCAGTGTTATGAAATATTAAAATGATGAATTGATATTTTTCCAGTCAAGTTTCTTTATAATTTTTTGTACATAGCCATTAGACTAAAAAAATGACTGGGAGTTATAGATCGCAAGAACCCCGTAGCCTTTCTCAGATGAAAATAAAACATGTCGTGACCTCATACTTATTAAAAATTAACACTCTGTCTTTTTCACATTTATTTTCATAATTGGGAAAGTGTATTCGCCCTAACAAATGAAGGTTTCGTAATTGAGAATATTTGCCTGCCTAAGGATTTCATGTTTGATCACCTTCTTGTGAGCCATGAGCCTGTACTTTAAGAATAAGATCAAAATTATCAACATATTCAATAAATCTTGAAAGGTCAAACATTGGTGAGTGATGCTTATGAGTTTGTGGCGATTAGTTAACAAATGTAAGCCACTTATTAAAAGATGCTGAACTATCCTGAACCCCTTTCTACTTTCTTGCCAACTTCCTCTTTCTCTGGTCACTTACTCATTTTATGTATTTAGCTATTAAAATCTTTCTGGCCACTGTACAGGGAGGGATTACACTTTATTTCAGAGTCTTTCTCTTCAAAGAATAATTCATCTTTTGCCCTTTTTTGCATAGGTTCATTAACACTGTATCTAGGAAGCTTTCAACAATTTTTTTGTGATGATGCTTTAGGGATGGAGTCTCTCAGGTACTTTTATTTTTTGATGTCAGTCTCGATGCTGTCTTTCCACACCAACAGCAACACAGCTCAGATAACTGTGCACTTGTGTGTGTGAGAGTCAAGATGCTCAGTGTGGCCTGTGACGAAGCCCAGAAGGCTATTACTCTGGCCAGGAGCTTAGGAACACAGAGCGAGTGCATTTCCTCTCTTGCAATCACATGGAGATCGTCTTTAAGCAGTCCTAGAAATAGTCCATGGGTACCCACCACCATAGGCACAATCACACTGGGTGCTGATCCACATGTTCTGCAAATCACTAACAGCTTCCTTGGTCAGGAGCTCGAATTCTAAGCTCTAACAGCAGGAGGAAGAAAACATGAGGTATGCTTTGATCCTGCTGATAAAACGAGGTATTCATACAAGATGCTCCTGTCAAAATAGTTTACTTCACAGCAAAAAGAGGTTCTTTGAAGAAATATGCTCAAAGTACAGCATGTACTTATTTTATTCACAAACAAAAATAAATCTTTTTATACTCACAGGTGGAAAATCGAACTCTAGAAGCGCCTCCTAAAGGAACGGTAAATGCTTTTGTCCAAACAGACGGCTCCCGGAAAGCCCATGTGAGGTGGACAGCACCTTTTCAACCAAATGGACATTTAACATACTCAATCCTTTTTACTGGGATTTTCTATGCAGATCAAG